TGGCTGGGGTGGTCGTCGTGGTGGTAGAGGATTTTGTACACATTGTCGAGGCCATCTGCACCATGGCGAGGTCTCCATCTTCAGGTGGGGCTTCGTCTTCGCTTGGCCATTCCCCTTCGGAACTGCTTGGGGGTTTGGGCGGCGGCGCTTTAGGTTGTGCTGCCGCTCTCCCCGTCTGGCTGCCGCCCCCTCGGTGGTCAGGTTGGTCTGCGTTCAGGGTGCTGCCAGCGTTCCCGTCCCCAAATATCTCTCTCTCTCTCTCTCTCTGCTTTGCTAGAGCTGCTAGGGGTTTAGGCCAAGGGCAGTCCCCTTGACACGCGCGTTCGCTCGCTTCCTCGGCTTGTTCTACGAGGCCGCCAGGAGCACTGGAGCTCACCAGTCTGACAGTCTGACCCTAAGTCTACCAACATCTCTCCGACCTCTGTTTTGCCTGTATATTTGTGATGGGGATCCTCGTGACAGATAGTACTGCTGGTTCACCAGACAGGCCCTGGTAACCTCAGCGTGCACCAACAAGCGCTCGAAGAGAAAGCAAAGGGGCTGTGTGACGGGATGTGGCCATCTGGATACAAGCCACCATCGCCATCCTCAAGCGAAAATGAAGCCAACTCGCTCACAACATGGCCAAACGCCAAACAATGCTATCTTTTCATTGCTTGAATGCAGGTTCGTCGATGCTGGCAAAGCTTCGCTGCTTGATTCAAAGCTGGACTCAGAGTCTGCGCGTCTCGAGGAATTCAATGCGGAATTCACAGAAGGCCTGTGACCACCCTGACCAGGACGGGCGTCATGCGAACGTAGCAAGCTACTTCCACTTTAGCAAGACATGGGCTCCAGCCGTCGGGAGTACTATGCTTCAAACTGGCGGAGAACAAGCAGTCCTGCGTGGCAATAGCCTGCACGCGCAACGTTTCAGTCCGCGCAGTGTCCTGCGATGTGTCCGTGGTACTGAATCGGCACAAGCACGAATGGCATGCAATCAACAGCGTGTTGACAGCGCTTTAGCTGACGAAACTACATGTATGGCGTCACGTCGCACATGCCCCTGCTTTCGCCCGCCGTCCCATGGTGTGGTCGGGGACAGTGGCCGGTTTTGGGGCTGGAATCCTTGCAACTGATGTGGGCTTGGGGTCTCGGTATCATGTCGACATCCCCAGAATGGCAGCAGACACAGGAATCGGTCTCTAGGGGTTCCTTTCCCACAACTGTTGAGAGGGGCCTCACACTCTGCACTATGCGGATTGGAGGGGGAAGGGGGGAATGGCCACACCGGAGAGGGGGGGATGCCGCAACATAGATAGTGTTGGGCCTTTGGCAACTTTGGCACAACTTTGGGGTTCAGAATTAGCTAGGTCCTAGGCGTCACTAGAGAAACCCGCTAGAAAAGACAGAAGATTAACGTGCCAGGGCCTGGGTCTCCAAAGTGTTCGGCAATGGCAAATGCTCCATGGAGCTCGGGGCGACCTCACGAAGGCTCGAGGCTATGAACACCGTTGTCAACCAAAGCAGAGGTGACTGCGTGCAACAAGCACATCTGGAGAACTAGCATGGCCTAGAGGGGGCACCCTGGGCTGCATGACATGCGTCTGTCCAGTAGACAGGCGGCCACAACTCATGACAGCCATTTTGAAAGCATTTCTTGTCGAAGCTCTGACGCTTTCTGATGACTCCAGCTTTTGCAGCTCCGCCCCTCAAGGACTTGAACAGACTGGTGTCCCTTCATGAGGTACGAGTACAGAGGAGCTCCTATCGTGAACGGAAGGCCAGCTCATGCAGCGGGGATCGCGCCTGCGATACGAGAAGCATCTTTGGCGTTGCTTTCGGAGCTAGAACGGCATCTTCCTCGGTCTGAAAGAAAGGTAGAAAGGTATCACAGCCACAAAAAAGCGGGGCTCCAAGGCTTCTCTGGGCCGGGCGTCCTTCGGCAGCTCCGGTAGTTCCGGGCGAGGAGGGGGAGGCTTCTCTGGATCGCGTGGGGCCGGGCGTGGGGCCTTCTTTTTCGGTGTCTTGAGCTCTCCATCGAAGCTCGATTCAGAGACCTGCCACGAAAAAAACCGAGGCTGTCAAGAAGGCCTGCCTGCTGCTTCCTTAGCCACGCTTCGTCTGTCTAGGCTCTCAAAGAAGCCTCTGCATCCGACTCATCGGAGCTGTCTTGCAATGGAACAACCAGCGGTCTCGGAATGCTTCCGGGTGAGTCCGGGGCAGCCGAGACCTGGTTGCCCATGGCCTCGAAGCGCTTGAAACTGTGCCACTTGAGTCTAAGCTGTCTAAGCCTAGGCATGCTGTGGCTTGGCTCCAAGGCGCCTCGGCTGAGTTTGAGTCACTTGAGTCGGCTCTGCCTTTGGAGGCCGATAAGAGTATAGGCGTGCTGTGCACAATCTGGATGACCTTGCGAGGGCCCCCCCCCCCGCCGGCGAAGTGGCCGTGCTGCCCCAAAGCAAAGCGCACCGGCCTCGGAGTCCACCGGATTCTCGGACCCTGGCTCTCTCCGCGAAGCCACATCTCTGTCATAGTGATGCAGCAACTCCTTGGCAGAACGTCGCCGTTGCTCTCGGGAGGACACAAGGCTACATGCGTGGCTCGCTACAGCTGCAAGGGCCTGTGCTTATGTTACGCTGTTTCTTCCGTGTCCTGCATGGCGCAGGTCACAGCCAGGCAGGCCAGCAACCAGCTTGACGAACGGGTGTGGTGTGCTGCCCCCTGCTCTTCTTCAGCACAATCTGTCTTTGCAAAAGATCAGTGAATGCGCTCTCGCTCTCTACCACCATTACAGATTCGGCTCCAGCAAGGTGAACAGCTCAGCGCAACCAAAGCCGAACACCTCTTGTCTTGGCCAGTCCCAATCACTTCACTGATGTCTGCGATGCATCTGGCAGCCAACACTTAAGACTAGGGACTACTGTTCCGGCGGGAATTGCAGGCGGTTAGCCAGCGTTTGCCCCGCTGCATCAGCAAGTCAGGTGATTGAAAAAGGGAAAGGCCAGGGAGCTGAGCCTCAAGAACCCAGTAACATGGCTGGCTAAGCTCACGGCTTCTCTGAGCTTGGAGATCAAAGCATCGAAGTGCTCTCTGAAGGAAATGTCCGGCTCGGCCTTACGGGAAGACATAAGGCTTCTGTCAACTGCTGTGTTAGAAGCACTTCCTCCTGTCACATCGCAGCCCAGGGTAGCTTGCTTCTCTCGGAAACGAGGTGCCGTTTCTTTCTCCATGCCGGCCGTGGCCATCCGAAGCGGGCCCGCCAGCGGCTGTTAGCCAACACAGCTGTTCGGAACGGTCTCGTTTCGAAGGCAAGGTCAAGGAACACAAACCAAGTCAAAGCTTGAAGCACTAGCGCCAAGCACACTTCTTGGAGAACCTTTCTTAATAACATTGCCTTGCATGTCGCTCCAAAAACACAAACCGCTGGTCCTGGCACTTCCTCACCATCCCTTGGCCGTTTTGGCGGCGGCTGTGCCTTGGATGCGCATCCCGAGCCTTGACATGATTTAAACTCATTTTTGGAAGCCCAAGTCATCGTCTGCCTGCCTAGAGAGCGGTCATGGACCACTAGACTAACCCTGCACCAAATTGAGGCTCCATCCATCCGCTGCCACGAAGACTTGAAGGCTGCGCTCTCTGAGCCCAGAAAGAATACATTTAGTGCGGCGCTTTGCATCGAACAATCATGTGGCATCGCGGCATGCTCGTTGAACGGTTTACTCACAAATCACCGAGCTACTGCTAGCTGCCGCAAAACAATCTCGCAACGGGTTGCACATTGACGAAGCCCTGGGCATGCTATTGGGCTCATCATGTACTACTACAGATGATGCACCCACAGATCTTACTCTAACCCAGGACAACATTCTTGGCAAGCTAGAAACCCACTGGAGGCACCAGAGAGAGAGGAGCTCTTTCCAAGCTTCGTGCATTGCAGATTTTTTGTTCGTAGTGCTCAGGCACTCAGTCAGCGCAGATGTGTCGAACATACTCGCATTTCGTCTGCTCTGCTGCATGATGAGGTTAGAACAACTTTGGAACTCGCATGGCCGGCAGAAGAGGCAAACTAGGAGATTGCTGAGTGATGAGGCAGGTTTGGCGAATTCTTCGACAACGAATATGATTGCGGACTACTCCGCTCGCTGCCCAACTGGTGAGGGCTACGGAGCTAATAAACGGTCGTGAAACACATCGAAGGTCGGCAGTCAGTGGCTTTGCCAAGCACAGCCGGGGGAATGGCTTTGCGTTTTGAAACCTAGTTGGCATCACGAACTGTTTGTGCGGCCAGCGGCCACTCGTCAAAAAGATGCCATCGTCGTGGTTCTGATATAGAGCTTCCGGTAGTCATCAGGGAATAAAGCTTTCATGAACTCCCTGTCGTCAATGCCTCCGCTCGCATCTGTGTCGAAGAGTTCGAAAAGCTCTTCAGCTTCCGACGGCCGAATACCGACATTCATCTTTGAGACCATATCCTCAGATCTTGAGGCGTTCTCTGCATTGCGGTTTTCTCGTTCCATGGACTTAACTTGGAAAAGTTTATTGTTTTACGAGCCGTGCCCGCTCTGCTTGAGAAGGAGTGCAAACAAGACACGCAGAACTCATCCATGGTAAGCTCCCCATTGCCATTGCTGTCAAACTTGCGGAAAAGCGACGGCATGTCGCCTTGCAATTCAAGCGACACCCCAGTCCCCAAGTCCATGTGTTCAGGGCTGAACCTTTGACTCGGCGAGGGTTCCAAGCTAAAGGCCCTGACAAACTACTTCCCGCAATTGCAGCCCATTTGCTGGCTTCATATCCGTAGCTCTTAAGTCTTTGGCGTGTCCGGGTCATCAACAGGATGCGGCTGCGATCTGCCCATGCATGGGTCATAGCCTGCGCAGGAAAGTGCATTGAAAGGGGTGTCTTCGTCAGAATTCCCCAGGCATCTAGGTGCGCTCAGCTCTGACACGTGCATGCTAAGAAAGCCCACCAACCCCATACGATGCCAAGCTGCATTGCCCAAGACAGAAATGGGCATGGCCATGAAAAGCACGGACAGGAAACAAAGGACTCCCGCGAGCACCCGCCCTGCAGTGGTAGAAGGCGTGACGTCCCCGTACCCTACCGTTGTCACGGTCACGGTGCAGACCCACATGGCCGTGCTCAAGGAGTCGATGGTGTCAGAAGGCTCGACGACATACATTAGCGTAGAAAAGCTGAGTACAATTACCTCAGTCATCATAGGCCCGAGAAAACTCTTGAATTCTTGGGTTCAGGCGTTCGGCCGCTCCAAACACCGAGGTGCCGAGATGAGGAAAAGCAGCAACTTCAACGCATCTCCCGTGGTGCTCAGCACGTGGGAGACCAAGCTGAGTTTGCCAAATCGGCGCACTAGCTTTAGCAACCTGACCGTTGGAACAACACCCACCTCAGCTGACAGATCGGTAGCTTTCTCTTCTGCCGACATGTTACATAAACTCAGGCCAAGAAACGAGAACATAGTGGCTGAACGGCCTCTCCGACATCAGAGGCACAACGAAGCTCGCTTCGATGCGCAAAATCATCGGCAGCACTGCTGCGATGTCAATGTAGGTGTGAGGGTCTCGCAACAGAACCTCAGCTTTTAGCAACCAGGGAAAATGAACCCCGAGAACATATGTATGAAGAGATTTCACAGACTTGGCTTGAATTGCTGTGATCGTGTCAAGCTTGAGTCTCGAAGGTGCTTTGCAACCTCGTCTCGTGCTCAGGACCATGGCCCTGCAGGAACTGAGCTTCGAACGAACTTGCGAGGCTCCAATGCCGCATTGGCGACAAGCTCCGTGCAGAAAAGCGCTTCGATGACAACCTCGACGTAGCCGAGACGCTCGCCGGAAATGGGAGGAGGGTTTAATGCCTGCGGCAAGTGACAGGTATCGTCGCGTGATCGCATCAGGTGACGCATGAAGTTTGTTTCTTGGCATCGCGTGCCTGCGACAGTGATAGGAAGACTGTCGTCAGGATGAAGAAGTTCCATACCCGGGCGAAGATCCCAGCTGAGGCGCTCGACTCGCTGTCTTGCAGGAAGATCTTCCATTGCGAGGTGTTTGCCGTCTGTGCCTTGAAGAAGGATGGCAAGGAGCCATTGCTGTCGAAGCTGATTTTGCTGGGCTTGCTCGCATTTGAGCTGCGACGGTCCTCCTTTCAGGGTCGGGGATACAAGCGCGAACTGCATCCTGATGTGAGGGCTGCTCGACAGTTCGGTCCTCGCGATCCTTGAAGGAAAGCTTTTTGTCATTGGCCATCTTATCAGTGTCGTCTGCATCTGACATGCCTGGAATAGTGGGAATCGATGCAGACTCAACCACGTGTCCTGAGACGGATGTTGGACCTCAGCTAATGCAAAGCTTCCCACTCCGACCTACACCGGAGAGTTGGGACATGCTAGAAAGAGACCGACGGAGGGAGAATATGCTCCGCGCTGTGAAAGGCGTGTCGAATCAACTGCTCCACCTTCTACTCTGGCGGTTACACCTTCCTCTCCAACGAAGTCCAACCAAGTCTCTGCCAAACTCATCACTTGAAGGCTCACGGCAGTCGACTGTTTCCTGGCTAGGTCGGCCAGGTGCACAGTCTCTGGTGCTGTGGTCTCTGCATGGGCTAGTCTTGACGTTATCCTCGGCACCGGATACAGGATCATCGGGCTTGGCGAATGCATTGGAAAAGGCTTCTTTGGTCGCAAAGTTGCCTCGAGCAAAGAGGGGCCTACGCGTGTTCTTCTCTGGGCCTATAGCAGCGGCGTGGTGCTCTGGTTGACAGGTCTCTGCTTCCAAGAAGCCTTCCTGCTGGACCTGAAGCACGGCAGCATAGCAACATCTGTGACTGGTCTCGAATGGAGTGACATGTCAACTGCCAGATTCGGGTGCTCCAAGCGACTGCGATCATTGGAGCTGGAAGGCCCTCCGGCAAAAGCTCCATGCCCCCAACACTCTCCTCAATTTCTCGGGAGTGCAACTGCATGCAAGGACAACCGCTCGGTTGTGCCCTCACGAGGTCCCCAAGACACACGCCGAGCATCCACTTCATCTACATCCGCCGCTATGCCTCCAGGCAGTTGATGGGCCAGCGTGACCTCCGAAAGCTCAGAAGAACTGAAAGCCATGGAGGACCACAGAGCGGTTCGAAGAGCACAGGCCTTCAGCTTTTTCTGTGAAGGAGGCCGCGGAGCGCTCCTTTGAAGCTTCTCTTTCGATCGAGATCGAGTGGAGCTTGAGGACCGCTCGGAGCTCCAAGTCTGCATCCTTCTCATGCTCGGCGTCCGGAGGGTGGACACGGTGTCAGGTGGCCGGTCTAATCGAAAGAACTCCGTCGACTTTCCTTAATCAAAAGCAGGCACTATAGGCATGGCATTGATTTACGACTGCTGAACCTGCCTTATTCGATTCAAGCGGCCCATCAAGGATCGCATGCGAAGTCTTTGGACAGTCATGTGATGCTCATGCTGCTTCAGGATGTCGTCTCTCACGTTTTGGAATAGGACATCCAGCTGCCGGCTGAACGGCTCCATTTGGGGCACGGCTCCCGGCAACAATCCCTGCCTTCAGATACCTGGCGCTCTGCACCACTGCGAGCCAACGGCGACGGCAGAGGAGGCGGCAGATGGCAACAGCAGGTCGGAGCTCTGGCAACCCGCCATCGGTGCGATGCCCTGCAAGGTTACACTGTGTGTTACGCTGCTCTGCCGCGCTCAAGCTTCGCATGCCAACAATTGCTCAGCAAATGCTGGAAGCTGGGAGAAGGGTTCGAGGGATGGCGGTGGCGATGATTGCGCCCAGATGGAACAAAGAAAGACAAGCGTGTGATGTCTGTAAGCTAAAACTCCAAAATCACAGCCCCAGGTTGAAGCTGTCGTAGACCGATGAAAGGACCGTGTGAAACGTCACGCGCCCTTCTCCTGCGCACAGCTTAACAACTTCTCGAAGCAGGCTGTTTCTTCTGCCTTGCTAGTCCTAGAAAGACAGGAAGCGAAGTCATTAATCATCACCACCGTCAACGTGTCGTCGTCATAGCCACTATCATCCCCATGGCCACCATCACCATAATCGCCGTCGTCATCGTCATCATTAATTATCACACAGATGCCCCAAAACCACGGTTATGATCACCGCTTTTATTGTGACTGCTTCCAACGTCGTCACAAACTCATCATCAGCTGAGCATCAAAGAGAGGTTGTCGCCTTGCAACGTTGCGAGGCCGACGGGCTGCAAAGCAAGGAACTGTGAGCAAAGACGTGCAGCAACCTTCTAACGATAACGACAGGCGTCAATCTCGCAAAAGACAGCCAATCAATCCCAAACCCCTGTAGCATGTGCAGAAATGGGCGGCCGTCTTGCTTTTGGCGCCAGCTGTGGTAAATCCGATCGGACGCTAGAACCGCTACAGCATCACTGTTGCTGTGCTTCGCTGGGTCATAGCTTGTGCACACCATCGATCAGCACGCAATTCCGATCTCAAGCTTCGGAGCCGTATGATTCTTAGTAGCACCGGAATCGAACATTGTCGTTCGCAGCTTCCGGGGGCCCTCCTTTTGAGACGTCTGCAGGTGTAGATGCAATCGGCTGCACGGCAAGCTGGCTGCATGCCTGCATCATCCTGCATCACATCAGCACGCATGAGGCCGAGGCTGGGTTGCGATGCACAGGAGGCAGTGTGAGTTGTGATCGCTGGTCGGCGAGGTCGGACCTGGTGCGACGCACCTTGGATACGATGTCTGCAAAAGCTCGCCCACGCGATCAGCATGAAGAGTCTTCCCGCTGCCCGGCCCTGCTTACACGCACGCAGCTGGCTAGGAACTGCGACCATGTGGACCACTAGGGCCCAGGTCTGGGCTGAAACGTGAAGCTAGACCCCGACTTCTCGAGACTTCAATTTGCCCGAAGCTGCCCACGCCAGCAAAGTCCCAAAAACTAAGGAGGTAAGATGCTGACTGGATCAAGTAGAACTGTCACATACAGAGGTGTAGAATACCAATCAAATTCCTTGCGAGGCGCTCTGCTGTCTAAGTCAGCAGGGCGCGTGCTTGTGGATGGCAGCTGCTGAACACTTTGTGCACGTCGAACCGGCGCAGTGGTCATCTGACGAATACGGCCAGAGACAAGAAATGCACATGCAAAAGCTTCTACCCAAAGGAGCCAGCCTGCATCTTTTTTCGCCACGGATCAAACCATGCATGCTTTAGACACTCGGCTGCCGCCCCGGATCCGAGGCGCTTGGATCTGTCCTGCCGATCATTGCAGTTCTTCAGCCTTTTTCCTACGTGCAGACGAAAGCTGCACAGAAGCCTAGCCAATGATATGGAATCAAAACATAAGATCGCGTATCTTAGCAGAGCAAAAATGAGACACACGGAATATAGTCTACACTTGAAACAATTAATCTGCCTGTGACGTAAAGATACGTATGAACGGAATATCATGAAGCGTGTGTTGTGTGCCTGCAATAAGTCTTATGTATGTACAGCTGGGCAGCTTGCCTGAAGGTCGCGGTGCTGCTCCGCGCATCCGGTGAGGAACATTCGGTGAAGAGACTTCGGTGATGCATCTGTGGTTGTAAAATTGGGGATGATCTGTTTTTGAAGGTTATCCAGTTCTGGAGTGTTGCTAACTGCTTTGATTTACTTATTTTGTGGCTTTGTAGCAAATATTCCATGTCGTGCTTGTGCTCGGTGTATTACGTACTGCCGATGCTCATTGTTGGTATCATCATAGCTTTCGGATCGTCCTAGCAAAGCAAGTGCATGTCTAAATGTCTCCAGTAGCCCTGACGCTCTTGCTTTGCCTGGACGTCTATATTCAAGTCTATTTCTATCTGCATGTGGATCTAACATGACTTGCTTCATGGAGTCTTTCGAATCAGTCCTCACTGTGTGTCCCGGTGGTCTTACCTTTCCTGTCATCCATGTTAGGGAAAACGGGAAAACTGTTCAATGAGGTGGTGGTGATCAGTCTTCAGGATGTCTAATGCTTTCTGATTCGTGTAAGCGGGAGGGCCCTTTAGGAAGTGGCGAAGTCCTTTTTAAATTTATTTGGATCAGACTGCGTGAGCTGTATGCGTTCAAGCCCATAGAGCAAATTGTGCTTCAAAACTGAATCGAACACCCGCAGCTTCCATTTCACTGTGTTTTGAGCCTTGTTCCAAAAAAAAGTTTTCGCCTAGTGCATGTGGCAGTGGTATCTGCACGGCGATTAATTACAAACCCCTCGGTGATTATCTACCGAGTCTGTCAATATTGAACCTAAATACATGGCTTCATGTTTGCGTGGAACAAGTGTCCCATCCATATATTTAACACTGGATGTTATTTGATTCAGGGTAAGGTTAATGCATTTGTCGTAATTCAAGCTCATGCGAAAGACCTGGATTCAGCTTGAATTGCGTGTAACAGTTGGTTTATTGTATGAGCATGGGTTCCAAAAGCTAGTCTGTCGCCTGCATATAACATTTCTGCGAATTCTATTCCGGCAACGGCGCTTCTTGCTTTGGAGTGTTTAACTTGGTTTTATATCCTTGAACATTGCAGACATGAGTAACATAGAAAAACCGGCGAGAGGACTCCTGCGATTTATATTCTGAACATTGACTGTCCTAAACTGTGGATCTCGGCACATGCCAGCAGTCAACCGAAACATATTTGGGGGGGGGGGGGGGTATTTTTAACCTGCGTAGAACCTGTAAAAGCTTAGTTT